GTTTAAAACTTATAAGAGATGGAGAATATTATTTTTTGATCTTTATTACGTTTTCTGCCAAGTTTATGAATATATAATAAGAAGCAAATTTTCCATTGGAGAAACGAAAGTCTTAATACTTATAATGGAAATTTAAGCATATTTTGCATTTGAATTTAAATTTATATTAATTATTTAGTTATTTATAAAAACATTGTTTATACGGATAGTGGAGTCCTTGTTTTTTTTTTCATTTTTTCCCTTTCTCTCCCCCCCCCCCTTACGACAATTAGACCGAGTGGCTGTCCTTGTTTCATAGCCTGCTAATGCATTGGATTCATCTTTTTCTTTCATCAGAAATGAAATTGCACATTTTTCTAACCATCATTTTCATAACGTCATAGATAAACTTCTTATTTCCATAGAGATTTACTTTCTTCTACAAATTCTTTACGAATGATCTTTTTCACTCGTAATTTAGCCTCTCATAGCAATGCAACGTCAGCCAGCAGAATTAATCCCACTCCCTCCCTACAGAAATCCATAATTGACTTTGCGGTCCATATTTGAGGTACGTCTGCTTTAGCAGAAATGCTCGAGCAGATACTTAGCGTTGATGAACACAAAGGATCTCAAGGACGGTTATGAATATTATACGTATAATACATGTATTTTATGCAATTGTAGTCGTTATACATGAGCACAGAAAATCGATTTTTATTACTACAGCTTTGAATCTCATGCATACAAACGAAATTATATTTACATTGTATAATAATAACGATATCTTCACATGCTCTCCTCTCATTCTCGTACTTTAAACTCTTAAACTTAAGCTCGCACTCAATCTCTGTTCGTGCATATTTGATTTTCATTTCTTTCCATCATTACGATGACAAGTGGTAGCAAGAAAATTAGCTTCGATCACGATATATTATTACGCCTCGTATCATTTTAAAATTACAACTCTCTTCATACGTTATTCTTTTATCCAAATAAACATTATCTTTATCCTTTACAACCAATAGCTAATTTTTCTTAATTGCCGTCTTCGGAGCTCTCTTATAAATTGTGAAATTCTGTTAAGCTTATCACTAGAACAAAATTTATATAAAATCAATATTAACAGGAACAAACGCACAAGCGCTGTTTGCTTTATACATAATATTTCGTGTGACGTGACGGTATTTTGCTATAACTTTTCAAGTCATAGCGAAAAAGAATTTTAAGAATTGAAACTCATACGTTTCTTATTTATTATAGTTATTACCCTGGGTAATGGAACGTAGATTGCATTTTTATTTTTTATACACTCTATTAACATAAATAAGAAATTTACACAAATGCTCTTAATTTAATACTATTATAGTGCAACATTAGTCAGCGAATTAAATAAGAACGATTGAAATTGTAAATTTACCAAAAATATTGGCAGATATTTTATCCTTTTAATTAAGACATTAGCATAAATAAAAAAAAAAAAAAGGAATAATAATAAATTTTAATAATTCATCTTTTTTTTCAGCATACGCATGTGCGTTTATATATATATATATATATATATATATATATATATGGTATTTCCAATTTTTCATAATAGTTTTCTGCCTTTTATTTGAGACAAATTTTTAAGACTAAGTTGACTTTTGTACCAAAAATAAAAGTAAACGTTTTCACTCGAACTTCAAGCTTTTTCGCTGTCCATTTCACTACGCCAATCCATACTGCATTTCCATTTTCCTTTACTTATATATTTATATATACATTCTATTTAAGCTCGTCCCGCAGAATTATACCGATAAATGAATTATCTCGAGTATAGGCTAATTTATATCTTTCTGTGAGGAGATAATATATTGCAAACAAATAAACACAGATGATTCTTTTAACGGACAAATTTTTCTTACAATTATAATCTTTGTTAATACGAAGTTAATTTTAAAATAAAATTTTTGCTTTATATCAAATTTTACATCTCTCCAATTTAAATATTCGTGTTAATGCCTTTTTTTTTTTTTTTTTTTTTTACAAGTTCTTTCCTGTATTTGTATAGATTGTAATTGATATCTATAGTTTTTCATTAACTATGACTTTTATTGACTCATTAATAAATCACTCAGATTATATTTCTTTGCGATGCAATCGTTGAGATTAAATGAGCGACTCGAATTTATATTTCTTCAATGGAGTCTTATAAATAAAAACAAAAACAAAAAAAAACCACAACCACAAATTTACTCCGAATATTTTAGTTTATAAAAAAGTAACTGAAAGATCCGACGATCGGCCAAAGTTTAAAATTATCTTTGCCCCATTCACGGTCCAAGTATCTTCATTAATACTCATCAATATTATTATTTTTTTTATTTTATTTTATTTTTATTTTTTTTTTTCGTATTGGAATATCAACGCCCGTGAGCACTTTACTGCAACTTCAAGCTACCTAAGGACAAGTGCCATTCGTAACGGCTCAATAACGTGTCAATGCCTTGACAAGGAAAACATTCCCTATCAACGCTTTAACACATCGCGCGAAGATATTCAGTGTCGGTGCATACAATTAAGGGGCCATTTTGTAAACTGAGAAACTATTGGTTCTGTATGATATTTGAAAAGTACACCGTCGAAGATTTTCTAGCTTTTATCAGGATCAAATAAGAGGATCTATACGGGAGTAACGAAAGATGTGTGAATATCTGGTTGCGATACCTCCTTTCCGTTTTCATTTTGCCATTTTATACGTAGCCAAATCGGGCACATGCACGCTGCGAGAGCCAGAAGAGTCGGATGGCGCATTACTTATACAAGCGCGGTACTGCGCGATATCCATATGAAGACGATAGCGCGGGTTTTATCGGCCATTTCATGGAAATAGAAAGAGAATGAAAAACGGCGCATTCGTGCCCAGCGCCAATTCTGCTATCTGCTTTCAATCAGCAGTATCGATCTGGACAAATTTTCCATTTCGCTCGCTTCTTGTAGCCTCTCCTCTACCCTCACCACCCTTTCACCCATCCCATCGCCATCATATGCCCCCCCCCTACCACCGTCTCTCTGTCTCTCACTATGTGTGCGCGTTTATATACGCACTCGTAATATAAGGGGTACTGCATGCGAGAGTACAAGGGTGTGTAATGACCGTCTTATCGGACTGAGTAATTTTCCTCGTGACGGCCCGCGGCCCTCTCGAACACGCGCGCACTTTAACGCGCGAGGTGTTGGTGTGGGGGTGGGGATGGGGGGGGGGACGAACGCTTCCGATTGCGGCTGATCATCCCTCGTTACTTTGGAGCAGAGTCTAGACTTTCCCACACTTATAGCAGATGTAAATTAAAAGATTAGTATAATCGAATGTGAAACTTTGAAAGTTAATTACTTAATGTAGCTCCAAACCCTCCTCAATTCGTAGATTAAGTAATAAAGTTGTACATCGATATTTTCGAAGGGTTTGAGATTTTAAAATAGCGAAAAACGTTGATTTTAGTGATGATATTAATTTGAGATATAAAACGGTTAAAAGCTTTTCATTAAATAAATTTATTGATCAAGCGATGTCTGTTTAATAAGGGCTTCCAAGAAGGAAGGGAAGCAGTTTGTCTTATACCTGTCATGAAAATCCTTAGGAAAATCAAGTTTTCTCGCATTTCCTTCCACCTTCTCTTCCTTTCATTTTATTATTTTCCGTTTTTTCCTTTCATTTTATTATTTTCCGTTTTTTCCTTTCATTTTTTTTTTTGTTTTTGTTTTTTGTTTTTTTTTGTTTTTTATGTGAGTGTCCGGTGCCAAGACGAAGTAAGGAGAAAAGTGAATGAGGATTGGATGAGAATTTCTTCTCTTAGTCCTCGCGTTCTTTTCATCCTCCATTTGCTTGTTCCGGTGCTGCATATTATGCAATGCGGGATTTTCCAGCTTCGCGTTACGTTTAAGGCGATTAATTGGGCTATTGGCTAGTCACTTCAAGTCGCCCATTTATTTTTGTTACTTTTTGCTCGTTTGAATTTTTGTCCTTGTAATTTCATTTTTTTCTTTTTTTTCTTTTTGCCCTTACAATATTGATTTTATTTTAATACCCATCGTTTTCGGGACGCGGCACTATCGTATTCGGTTGGGAATTCCAATGCAATGAGTTTTTCGTAATTGCTATATCTATCCACTTCCGTTCAGTTCTTCATCATGATTTTAATGCCTTTCAGATGGCTTTCCACGATATTTTACGATCTTGCACGTATCATTTTAACTGCACTATCAACTATAGAAATTACATTTACATCTCTTTATTTTATCTTTATCGCTGATTACAAATTATCGTATATTTATGTACTAGAAAATTCTTTGCAAATTTTAATACACTTTTACTTGCTCATATTGATTGGTTTATTTTTTTTAAATAACATTTTTTCATTGCAACCGACATGCCCATAAGGTCTTTGTTAATATAATAATAATAACTTCGTCACACATGTCAATATAACAATCATTTTAACAACATATTCGGTACATATATTAAACATAACTCGCGGTCTTTCATCATACAGCGTCTTATCTACGGGTCGATATAATCACGATGATATTCCTTATACTTTGTTCTCCTTAAATATTAATCAATCCACGTACACACACGCGCGCGCATTCCCGTACACCGTTCCTCCACCCCACATATCTATTCATCTATATATATATATATATATATATATATATATATATACCGCGATTACGCGAATGCATATATGTATATGCATACATTTATGCTTAATTTAGAAAAATTACCCAAAGTCAAAGTCATATATCTTCATTTAACAATGTCGCTTAATCTGCATCACTTTCTCATTCCATCTCTCTCTCTCTCTCTCTCTCTCTCTTTCTTTCCAGGGGCGAGTATACTATGTATGCATGGGTGTACGGTGTAGGAATACGGTTGCGGAGTGATGCGTTCGTGCGCACGTGTGCGTATTTGGGAGAGCGTGTGGGTCAAGGCGGATGTTGCGGTATTTATTCGGTAATTCTTTGATTTTGCAACGCTGTAATTATAATTTTCCCCACGGCTGCCGCTGTCATTGCCGTCGCCGCCACCGCCGTCCAGCAAATCCTTCTGTCGCTCCATCGACGTTATCCTCATGCCTTGACTACGGCCACGTGCAGCGATGATCGTCGTCGGCCGCGGAGCGGTTGCACACCATATTAGCATACCTGGATCAAACGGCGCATTCCGACTATCTCAAGTGCAGGTGCAGCATAACCAGTGCGAGGATCGTGAGTCTGGTGATCCTGCAGCAGTTGTCACTGGCGTTCTCGGATGTCACTGCAACATGGCGAATGAAAATTCATGAGCTCGCAGCGGCCGTTGTAACGTACGTATCTATTATGCTTAATTCGATAAAGGGGTAAACGTGGAGTACGGGGTTGGACGGGGGAGGAGTCAGAGGGATTTGCAGGGCTCTCAACGCTCTCGACGTCGCATTCAGTCACATTTAATGTTGACTTTCTGCGAAACACCTCACCACTTCGCTTAATTAACGAAAAAGTCGTCCAAAGCTCCAAAGAGCTGCTCGATGACCACTTTTTAAGTATACTAATACACAAAGGTAGCTTCGATGTTATTATGTTTTGAATACAATAATTTGCATTCAAATTAATTTCATTAATGATAAAAAGAGGTTTTCTACACTTTTCATTAGCAGGAATAATGGTGTATGAAAATGATGAAAACCAGTATGCTGCATTTTTATCAACTACCAAAGTCTGTAATGAACTTTAAATCAAACTTGCCATCATATCGGCAATAAAACATTTATTCTTTGAAAGAGAAATATATATAGAGATATATAGAGAAATATATAACAATTTGCTGATTCAATAATAAAGTCGATAAAATATTAACACCTACAAGTCACATATACTTAAAAGTAAAGAGCCAATCTGCTTTTTCAATTGAGGTACTACCTCTTCCAAGAAAGAGAAATATTTTTTTCGAAAAGGCAACGTTGGAACGGTTCTCAAATAAAGGTCAATCTGTCTTATGAGTCGGTAGTTGGGGCTTTATTAGAAAGTAGTTTCTGTCATCATTAGGTATTTATGATTTGAAACAGAAAATAATTTCAATTAATATCAATGCACCCAGGACCTTTTGACTCTGAACAAAATCAAAATATACAAAATTTATAAATTCTCGTATAATTTAAAAACTTTATTCTTCAACTTCAATTTAATAACACGTTTCGGTTTAGCGCAAAACAGGTTTTGTAAAATTATTAAATAAGCTTCTAAATGATTATCCTAATGACTAATCTACTATACTCTGCAAATTTAATTATATAATTAATTTTATTCTCATATTGCGAGTTTTTTTTATTCTGAAATAGCAAATGAGATCTTTTGAAATGCTGTAATGGGTAAAAATGGCCGAAATATGATTAAAATTTTCTTAAAAAATACATATGTACTACGAGAATGTAGTGGGCAAAACACGTCTATGTGTTACTTCCGAGCTATTTCAACTTCCATCGGACAAACATAAAGAAAGAAGAGAGAACGAAGATAAAAAAAAAAGAGAGAATGAAAATAAAGGTTGAAACGTTCAACAAAAGGTAGTGGGTGTGAGAGACGAAAGCCGAGCAAAATCTAAATTAAAGTTGTCCGAACTCGTATTCTCTTTCTCTCTTACTTCAATGCTTTTAGTTATCTATATCGATCTTTATAAAAGGACAAGTGCCACCGGTAGTAAAAGCAGCTTAAAGCTGTTAAACTACATTCTAAATCGACTATTTTTCAATTGATTTATAAAATATTGATTAACCTATTTATTTATCAAAATTTCTTTTATACAAATTATAAGGCTTTGAATCTGAATTTTATTATAATATTTCATTGAATTACTGTACAATCTGAAAATCAAATTTTTATATCTCAACTCAGCGAAATATTACGCGAAGCATTAAAAGGCTGGATAATTAATATTAGAAAATGTCGAAAGTTTTATAATAATGTTAAATATTTTTAAGGAATTTTCGAATGTACACATAAAAAATATATCATAAAACATACAAAAGATCTTTTGTTAATGTATAATTAATTCAATTTGTTTATTAAATATTAATATTAATTGTATTATTTTATTTCAATATTTCACCTTCGAATTGCAAACAATGCATAATGCTAAATTACAGAATTATATAAAATAAATAACAAACCATTATTATTTTTGCAGGAGTTTAATGATAAATAAATGCATTATACTTATTTAGTGCAGCAGTCGTATAATTTTTTTTTATTCTAACGCTAACTAAAAACTGTAAATACATTTTATTAGTATATACATTTTAGTTGAAAAGCGCTTCTCGCATATTTTTTATAGGATAAGAAATTTTACAGTTTCGTAATTTAATTTATTATTAACTCCGTAATTCCTTTTCTTGCAACTATCAAGCATCATATTCCAGTGTGACTCGAAAAAAAGAAACGCGTTAAAAACTTATTGATGGTGCTCGCGCATTTGAAACATTATATTTGTTCATTGTTCATTGTACAGACAGTCGAATGCGAGCGCATAAAACGTGCAGGTCAATATGTATGCTCGTATGGGATGAAAGAGAAAGAAAAATAAATGAAGCTGTACGTGCGGGGCAAAGAAGGCGAGGGATAGGGAGCGAGAGAGAAAATGAGGGGTACGAATGATAGGGTGACTTAGGGGCTGGGGGTTGGGTTGGGGGTTGGGCTGGAGGTGGAGGTGTTATGTACAATATATAGCAACGGAAACGTATGACTCCGTAGAGCCTGGACTATGTTTACGAGGGCGGCATACTCCTAAAATTCTACGGGCCAGAAAAATCGCCACGCAGACGCAGAAATTATTGCTCCTCTTTTCTCCATTCGCACGTGAGGTAGGGAAACTCGTTTCAGGATGCTTCCGTGACCCGAGAGTCGAGGATTGTTACCTCTGGGGAAAAAACCTAAGATAAAAAGGCATCCAGTTTCCTCTGGCAATTAGTATAATAATAACATTTGTAAGATATTTTCGTACAAATTCAAATACCTAGTAGGGCTATTCATTTTTAGTCTGCCTTAAATTAATATCACTTACGAAGAAAATTACTTTTCAGTTAGAATATCATAATACTCGTAATGTAATAACATTGTTCCGCCCAATGAATGTTTACGCACTCTATTACGTAAAATATTTGAAGAATAGATTTTCAATATGGTTTACAAAATTTAATTATTTCGAGTGAGAAAGAGCGTATTAGTATCGTAATCTTTTTTGAGAACTTTCCGGAAAATTGAGCGATCAGAGATTTTATCATAAAGTAAGCGTCAATTATTAATATCAATCTCCGCTAAAAATAATTAATCATAGAATTCTATTAAAATTCAGAATTTATTACTGATAGCAAATTATTGCTGAATCTAATCATTAAATATGAATGAATTGTTGATTATAGATTACGTGTGCAACTATTATTATTATCTGACTAAGCGAATATAATATAGTTATTACTTTACTATAATCGTTACTCTATAGAATCATCAAAGACAATACATAATTTCTTACATACTTAGATATAATGAATCTAAAGGTTAAGTTTAAACTAACATTATATAATATTCAATGTAAGAGAAAAGTATTCTTCATATTTAAACAATCGCACACCTTTGGATTTTAAAGCCTTTTAAGTTAATACGCATTTACACTCTTCACTGCTCAAATCTTACGTATTTAGTAGTTTCAAATATTTCGACATAAGTGCATTCCATTTCCAGGCAGGAGGCATGAGCTCTAGTGAAGGGAATGTAAGTCGTTAGCGATTTTCGCGAAATTGAATAGCAAATGAAAAGTGCATTTCTCGTGACACTCGCGCAACTTTTCCCGAAGAAGCTACAGAGGCGTACGTAACGTTGTGGTTGTGCAGCTCCTCGATGGGGAAAGACGAGGATGGTGCAAAATTCCGCAAGCAACGTAAGGGACGATTTCCGCTCCCAATTTTCCAACTATAACCATTCTCTGGTATCTTGGAGCCAGGTAGGATAGCAAGAACTGGCGGAGAGGGGGGTGTGGTGGCAGGAGTCGATAAGCATGACGCGCACTCTGAGACGCCAGTAGTCTCGATTCAACTGCAACTTTGCTCCATTTCGAGGTAGTTTACGCGTGAAATGCTTCCACCGAATAATCAGCTATGCAAAGGTCTGATAACGAGACTCGTTACGATCGCGCACACCACGGATGCGTAATATAAATATATATGTATGTGTGTACGTGAGGTCGAGCTCATTGTCAATCGGTGGTATTCGACGTGCATTGTGAGTTGCCGCTCGTCCCTGTCAAAGAGAATATTATTTAACTTTATGCATGATCACTGGCTAAACTGATTTTTGGCGCGTAAATACAAAAAAAAAAAACTTGCATGTTAAAAGTAGCCGAAACTCACGTGCCCCGTCAGTTTTGAAAATTGACTGGCTATACGTGGGTCAATGTGTATGATTTGACAATAATTGGCTTCGCTAGCTAATTTGTTGTTTCACTACGTATATTATGGTGGACTTTGATAATAATTGCTTGGCTAGTTAGGTTTTAATACACAGATCTTTTGATATACCTGCAGATTGTCGATAATACAGCTACTTTGAATATATATTGAATGCATCGATTACGCGACTTAGGCAAAGTGCGCTAATGAACGCGAGTTTAAAGTTGTTCATTCTTCAACTTCAACTCTTCAACTTGGCTTTTGTAAGGGCAATATAATATTTAATATAATATCTCGATTTGTAAGATTAGCAATAATACAGTTAATGTAGACAACTTATCAATTGAATTATAAAAGTTGCATTAAATGATGTTTTCCCAGTTCCACAATTTATGTCGATTTAAATTATGCATTTGTTTATGACAATCTTATTAATTTGTTCATTCAGTCGGATAAACTCATTTAATTTTAATGATTAATTTTAATACTTCGATGCTTGTATTGGTGACAAATGAAAAATATGATATTTTAGTCAGTTTGCTCTTCATTTTTATCATACATTTGGCGGACTAATTAGGTGCAATGTAAGGTACCATTTATAAATTGTCTTATGTAAATGTAATACAAAGTTTTTAATTAAGTTTTTGGTTAGTTTTATAAATCTTGCAAGAGATCATTATAATGAAGCTTATTAAACTCAGGTTACGTACTACTTTCATAGACTTTAGAGTAAACCCTGGCAATTTTTATTTTTTAATAGACATTACTTGTGTGAATATAATATTTAAGGGAACACTAACTGGTCAATGCATTTATAATGTTACTTGAAAAATTAAAATATTGAAACTATATTTACTGAAATTAGTAAGTATTACATTAGATATCATTATTTTCAAATTATTTAATTTATTTTTATTTTCTTTATGAGTCTATAATGTAATATAATTTCTCTGTGTATTACTGATTATTAAAAAGTATCTCGAACTTTTATTAATTCCAAAAATTTCAAATAAGAAAATCATGATTGGCCTTCAATTTTATTTAAAATCTTTATATATAAAATTAGTCGTGTAATTACTATTGATTTATGTATATAATATTATTGTCATTAAGGTGAGGATTACTTTCTAATGAAGCAAATCGATAAATATTTTGCTTCGTACTATAAAATCCTATATTACGTATTACGTATATACGAAAAAGCGTCCATAACACGTAATGTATAAAATGTATAATTAACGGGAGTATTTAATATGTACATTAAATTATTCAAATAAACCTAAATAGCATTTTCGATATGTGGAGACGATAAATTGATTAGAATTTGTTTTCCCTTCTTTTCGAATTCTAATGAAATCCAAAGCTGCACGCGTGTACGTTTATTTGTATAAAATTTATTGATATAATTAATGTTTTTAATTATACTAAGATACTCAAAGAAAATCCTCAAAAAAAAAATACTAATAATAATTTACGTTAATTGATTTGACATAAATAATGCATAATAATAATAACCTGAATGTTGAACTCATTATTATTATGTTATTTATGTCCTTTCAAAAAGTATTTCATTAAAGTTAATTTTAACATGACACGAAGATAATTTTTGTTTTATTTGTAAATGATTATAATGAATTTCCATATATAATTTGAATCAGAATTATTTATTAGATAATTAAAATATTTTGATAATAATGATTTTCGTATATTGCGTTTACGTATATGTGCATGTATTCAAATAAACATTTTTTCATAGAATAAATAAAAGTTGCCAAGTAATTATTAACCACAGGAAATTTATAAAGTTCTAATAGTATTTGTAAATTATAATTTTATAAATGAGCACACAATTTATTTAAAAAAATAATCAAAGCTTAAAGCTCTATAGAAATTTTAAATTTGACATTTGTAATTGTTAATTAGAAACATTATCTTTACTATTTAAAGTATAATTTTTATTTATATTATTTATATATTTTAATTTATATTAGTATTAAATAATATATAGATAATGCAATATTAAAAATTTGTGATGTATATTTAAACTTCCGAATTTTCATATTTTTTAAAATTTAATCAAATGAAAAATTTATTATGACAGAACTTTTTATTTTATTATAATAATTACATACAGTGGTAAAAAGATTATTTAATACAAGGAAAATTCATATATTTATTCTTCTAAGTACAGATGATTAATATTAATTATAAACTTGATAATTTATTGAAAAACTTTACTAAATCGAGATTTTAATGAAATTCAAGGCGATAAATTAATATAAGAAGTTCGAATTGATTTTCAATATTTTCCAAGGAATAATGAGTTTTTTTTTTTATATTTCAGGTTATTTAATTTTAATTTTCTATTTTAACATGAAAATTTTAATGTAAAGTACATATTTATTATGATACACATCGTCGCTTTGCTTTTTTAATTAAAAAAAATACCTATATATTTTGATCCATACAGTGTTATTTATTTAAAAACAAATTTATATTAATAATGTATGTAAACAGTATGTGAAAGGAAATTCATAGAAACCGATATGAATTCGCTACTTTAAAACGTTAAAAGCTCGCTGATTTTATAGTATACAAATCTATTTATTTTTTCAAAATATTTCTGAGAAAAAAAAATTTCTACAGGCTACTGCTTAGTAAATGCAAATATTTTTATTACAACTTTGTTTCCTGATAATTTCATAATTATAAGGTTCTAACTTCTGAAGATTAAGATTATAAATTCAAACGGTATACTTGGAAGTTTTAACTATTGAAGTGAAATGACTTTGCGTTCATAAATTTATCTCTCGTTCATTCTCTGCTGCAAACATTTGATAAACGCGAATACTATGTCATTAAATGCTAATACTTACAATTCATGTGCATCGGTATATAAACGTCCTATGACTCTTGAAGTAAGAATTAAATCTGCCCTAATCCATTAGAATCCCTCTATTCTCTAAACCGGATTTACTATACAATTTAAAGTCACGTGCCAGAAGATTCAAATTAACTTGCCAAATCATTAGAAATTAATAGATTGTGAAGTTTTTATTAGCACGTTTATATTTATTGGGAGTTAAATTCCGATCTTATAACGATCTCGATATCGATCTTGATGAGAGAATACATTATGTTGGAAAATCCTATGAAATTATCAAATAAATTGCAATTACAAACAAAATTTTTCAGTTAATTATTTTTTCTCTACAAGAAGTTCCGTTACATTAGTAGTATTAAGCAAATGTGATCGTTCGTTTAATAAATTTACTTATTTGTACCATTTTGCACTGTAATCATTAGTTTAAATTAACTGCACTACAAGTACTATATCTTGATTATAGACTTTAAACTATTTAAGAAATCAAAAATAAAACGTGATTGCTAACAAACAGTTCTACAGTATTAGCGAAATTTCTTCTGTTTAGTTAAGTTTAAATTCTTAAACGAGATCAACGTTACTGCTGGAGCAATAGATTTTACTATTATTACATAATAAAAGAATAGTAAATATGTGAACAGAATGTTAGAATAAATAATGATATTATGGTTAATTATGTAGTTAAAAGAAACATAATAATAACAATTGAGTTTAGAATTTATATAAGAGACGTTTTATTTTGCTATGAAATTAGTGAAATATCGTTGAAATGATCGATTCTACCCACAATACTCAACATGATTATTTGAAATAGTTTTTTTTTGTGCACGAAAATCTTAATGCATGTCATTCATCAAATTAGCTTTTTATCAAATAATATCATTTTTAATGTTATAATGGAACATATAAGTAAATGGCTTAACTATTGAAATGACACATTTTCTGACAGCAAATCACACGAAGAGAGTTAGAAGTACTTGAATTTTTTTATTTCCCTATTCACTTGAAATGCGCTTTCTTGATTATTAATGACTGCAACGTGATTAATGACAAATCCATAATTAATGCGTTGATTATTTTTATAAATTTATATTGGGCACCGACAAAACGGAACGATCGATCAAAGTGGCTAAATGCTATATTAGAAATAAAATGCCATTTGGCGCTGAGCATTATGGTCGCCCATTCGACTATTCGTAATAATCTATTGAATTGCCGAGCTTAAGATTAAAGCTACGATTTCTTTTATTGTCTACATCATCGCATTATAGTTATCTCCTGATATCTCCAGTTAATCCAACACGTATCAGAAACTTACGTGACGATTAAGGCGGACGATGCTCTTCACGCAAAAACGACACCCACATTCCTATTTGTCCAAGTGATTTTCATCATAATAATATGGTGCTTTTCTCAGTTGGAGACAGAGGCGAAGCTGATGGGGCGACAAATTATAGCGCTAAGCCCGCAATCTCGCAGTCGAAAGAAGCGGCCACTCGCTCTAGGTACATATCCGCGATAAAGCTTTCGGAATCCCAAAAATTGCCACCGCACAGCGCCGGTAATCCCGGGCGACGAGAGCCGCGCGCCGCGGCCTAATCGACCGAGTAAATTTCCCGGTGACCCTATTCCCGGCAATCTCGCTGAAATGCAAAAATATTTTCGCTTATTCCGGTCTGCCGAGAAAAAAAGGGGGTCGAAATCCTTGCATCTCGAACAGATGCGTTACTTCAATAATGGAAAGCATATATTACAGCTCATGTCGGAATGAATTCATTTTCCGCATCTTCGATTCCGTTTAACCAATCCAAGTCGTAAAATTTTTCCAAATTCCATATTTGCTCGACGCTACTATCTCTCTCTCTCTCTCTCTCTCTCTCTCTCTCCCTCTCTAATCCCAGCTCTTCACCTCATGCCCCTCCTTGTAAATCCCATGCCTCGTCCATCTATGCTATCGTATAGCTGTTGGAGCCTCACGTATAATGGTGGTGGCTATGAGCATCCCTTAGAGATTACAGAGTTACAACGCTCTTTGCCGCTTGGATTTTTCGTTTAGCAGAATCGCGAACAAAACAGTATATTTCGAGTACACGCCGCGCATTTTCCTACCACTCGTCTAATATCAGTCTGTCGTTAGATCGACTGGCATTTGTGTTGGGAGGCCGGGTTGGGCGGGTAGGAGGGATGGTATGCGGCGAGGCTTAACGGCGGCAGTGGAGCACATCGACGCCGGGATATGGCTTGGCAAAATAAAATGGAGACCCGTTGAAAAGTGCGTGTCCGATGCGCGCTATTGGCTGCCCGTATTCACACCCGACAGTCAAGACTCCGGGGGTGAATGTGGCTATATCGGTCCAAGTTTACGAGAGAGCGCGAACTCAGGAAGGTATGGCTCAAGGGTAAGAGGAATTCGCGGTCCATGTTGGACAATGTCGTGCTCACCTCTCTCCGGCACCGGCTCTCGTAATCCGTAGCCGAGCTGGACTTCGCTCGTCTGTTCGTAAATGCCAGGGATCTTGGCGGTGCAGCGCAAGTTCAATTGGCCGTTCAAGTAATGAAATGGTTGGAGGCGAAGGCTGAGTTCCGTCCACTGGCGGTTATCGAGGCTCCGGACACCCGAGACGCTGTTGTAGTCGTGCTTCTGTTGACTCTGTTTCGTTACTGCCTCGCCGACCTGGAACACACGGGAATTGGCTGAATTATTATTATGAGCTGTTAACCTTGTTCGCGAGACGGAGATCGACAATATGACGGGGCGCGCTGAGTTTCGCTCTGGGCATGTTCTCGAGCGATGTTTGGATTAATTATTCTTCCGTGATTTCGTTCAGATTTGTGCTTGCAGCACTGGATTTGAAAATTCAATTGAACAACGGCGAGCGACATCTGGCTTACTATTTATTCCTTTCAATTTAAGTGGGTCAGGTAGTAATGATATACTTTTAATGCCAACTAAAAAGTTTATTTTTGGCCATTAAGGCTGCCCAACGGTAATAATGTAAGATTTTTTAATAATTTCATGGACGTTATACTATTGCAACGTCTGTCCGCCGATCGAATTTTTTCCCCATCATTTACAAGTTTCTATTATTATATTATGCGTGGCGCACTTATAAAAATGAAGTAGATTTCACTCGAAGTACGATATTTCTAATAAACTTTTCAATATAATTTTTTGAAGTGCACTAAGTTTAAGATTTATAAGTATTAAAAATATTTGATTTGTATTTAGCGTAAAACTTTATTATATATATATATGTTTACTGTACGACGTCATTGTCAAGTATTTTTTGTTTTCAGCACTGAAGAATATCGATATTATTAAAATTATGGTAGTCTTATGAATGTAGTTTTCTAAACAAATTTCCTTTTTATTTATATATAGTATTTCTATAATAAATAGGATTAAATTAAAATGACGCAAATGCATTCGATCGTAACAATTTACTTGAGTAAATGACACATTGGCTCTTAGCGTGTAAATATAAAAGACCTAACATTTTTTAAATTTCATACGATTTATTGAAAGTATTAGTTAAAGTAAAGTTAAAAACGAGTATAATAAATGAATAAAAATAGATTGGGAAATATGATGTTTCTACGTATTCAGTATATTTTCAGTATTATTTATTTTTGAAATACTCTTTCTTAATTTCATCTCTTTTTCGTTCCATTCCCCCCCCCCCCTATATTGTTATTATTTCAGAACATTTGTTGGTTAAAGTGATTGATTATTCATTATTAGTTGCTCGGTACAACGTATGAGTCTACAGGATAAAATAAATTAATCATTAATATAATAAAGTTTAAAACTAATTCAGACATTAGAGTCGATGTAGATTTATCAATTATTTATTTTGAATTAAATAATAAATGTATATAAATTAATTTGTACGATTATATGGTCTTTGAATTCATTGCTCAAAATTCTAATATATTTGTTCTTTGACAAATGTGCCATCTCAAAATATAAAGAAAAGAGCTAAATATACATTTTCCAAAATTAATACGGAATACATTCAAAATTTATCGAGAACGGTAACTCGATATTCCAATAGACTGTTGAATAATTACAAATAATCACCATACGGTATAGGATTTCTTTTTTAATAAAGATGACGCTCTATAGTACGTAGAGACATAGTATTACGAAAACGCGAGAGCAATTCGCAACTGCTGTTATCGTTCGTTAATGTCCGATTAGGTGCTAATGAGAAAATTTAACCGCGTGCAAGTATTAAAAGTGCGAGAGTAGAAAAGTTTCGTTCATTCCATGAACATTTAATAGAAGTCTGCGACAGTACCTTGTCTCGAGCTAATGCATAACTTATAATCTCGACTTCTACATAAATCAACTTCTTCGAAATTTTATAGAAAGATAGAATCATACAGAGACAGATGGATGGCGAATAAACGAGTTAGCGTATGAATTGTAGAGTAAGTGAGAAAAATAGACGGAAAAAGAGAGTACGTGTGTGCGTGGGTGCGTGTTTGTGTGTGAAGAAAAGATCGCTTGAGAGAAGATATAGATGGACTAAGCAGTAGTGAGGGAATCGAGCTGGTGAACGTCCGACCCCTGTGAAAACGGATATGGACCAGGAGTCTGCTGCAGGCAAGACCGACTTCGTCGCCGGCTGAGAGCAAATGTAAATCTGCTTTTAACGAAATTCATTCAGCCGGAATCGCGGCAAGCAATTCGCGCCCTTTGCCCGAGGAACACAAAAGCGAAAACTTTAATTCCGCTTCGATGAACGTCGAGGAAAAAAAAAAGGGATGGACAGCAGGAGAAAGAATGGTAGAGAGCTAAAGAGCGTGAGAGAGCGGGAGAGAGAGAGAGAGAGAGAGAGAGAGAGAGAGAGCACGAGAGAAAGAGGGCGTAAGAGAGCGTGAGAGAGCGTGAGAGAGAGAGAGAGAACACGAGAGAAAGAGGGCGTAACACAGCGTGAGAGAGCGTGAGAGAGAGAGAGAGAGAGAGCAAGAGCGAGAGAGAGTAAGATAGTGGCGAAAATACGAGAGAGTGATGCTAGAGATAGATAGATGGATATAGCGAATGGTGGAGGGGGATGGCGGAGGAAGAGAGGGAGAGAGAGAGAGAGAGAGAGAGAGAGAGAGAGAGAGAGAGAGAGAGAGAAGGACCGAAGGCGATGTGAGAGTCGATGAAGAAATAAAGTGAAAAAGACTGAGAGAGTGGAGAATATGCGTTCACTATTAACATCTTTTGTATGAATGCAAGTCCCGCTGAGGCAAAGAGTGCTGTAAAACAAAGAATCTCCAAGTTCGCGCAGCTTCCCTTTTTATACTTCTTTTTCTTTTATGCGTTAACGAGCTTGGCCTATGATAATATTATAATTGTCACTCAATTTCTCGCTATGCATCGCTGAGTATCGCATTAATTTTATGTAACAAAAAGTGTACTTTATTCTTGTTTATAAAATTCTTATTCAATTGACGTGAGAATCGAATGAAAATATAATATAAATTTGTTTTCGAGCAACTTGATTATTCCAGATAATAAGAAAACTCTATATCATTATTAGTTTTGTTATAAATTCAATGGCTTAGTTATTAATAAATGTAATATGCTCGTGTATGTCTGTTACAAATACATTTATACGATAATACCAATGCTCTTTATAGAGAATTTTGCGATAGACGTAATATACAACTGCATAAAACGAGTACTTGCGTGACATACTTGAGAATATTTATATGGAGAATGTCATGAATATTGGAAAATTAATAAAAGTTTATTTTTCAAGCCGTAGCAACAGCAATTACGTACGTATAGTAAAATTATAATTAGTTATAACGTTATACGTGAATTAATAAAATTTACAATATTAAAGATATAATTCAGATCTCAAATATTTGTTCGCTTAATTATAATGTTTTAAGATGAATTTCAGCCGAGGAACATTGAAGTGCCTTGACTCTGAATTATTCTTGAAGAATTCTTAAAGCATTTTTTAATTCAGTTAAAATATCGTTTAATGACAATAGACAATGAATATGAAATTTGAAATCCTCCTTTTAAAGTTTCCTATCTAATATTAGTGCAAGCTATGTTTTAGTTAGCTTATGAATATTAAAGCAGCTATGTACATTTTTAGATTTATCTTAATTTAATCTGGAAAAAAGATTGATGCGAGTTGAAGGTAGCCTCGCTTTTTTTTCTTCTTTAACCATAATTATATTATTAAATTTTAAAGAAGCAGGTTGGGGGGGTGGGGAGGGGGGAGGGGAAAATGTGAAATGTGAATTTAGAAAAATATTATTTTCTTCTTAAACATAAATACTCATCATTTTCAATTAAACCATTGTATCTCGCTTTATAATACAATACAAATACTCAATTGAATATTAAGGTCGTATATCGATATGCAATTTTTATAAATCGAATTAAATTTGGCCTATAAAGACTTATCCGGACGAATACCCGCTATTTCAATCGCATTACGTAGAATAATGTGAGAGCAACGAGAATTCTTAAAAATTAACATTTCAAATCAGCTGGTCATCATTAATTGTGCCAATGCATTGAAAAATATGTCAGATTTCATGAAAGCGTAAAATTAAATTTCTATTTTCCATGTAAGGGAGCAGCATTATTAGCCCGATTTTACAATGTTTGTCTACAGGATGCGGAGCGGCAACGTAGAACGATTATTAAATTATTTCACCAAAAGCTTCCTACGTACGTAATGTACAATACGGCGAGAGGCTTCGAACGAGGACGAACGCCAATGAGCCGTGAGCTCG